AGGTTAATGTCCACATCCAGAAGAAATAAATGAGTAAGAGTCCTTTTCTTTTCAGTAAGACAACAGATTGTAAGTTTAAATAATGACTTGATTACAGATGCTACTGTGTGCATCCTGGTAATAAGACTTGAGTCAATGAAGTCTAACCTAGTGACATTTCTTCATTTCAGTTAGTGACGTAATATTAAGGCAGGGCAGAGACAAACAGAAAGTAGAAAACAACCATTTTGTCGTAGTTATGAATACATGAATGATTCCAAAAATTCTTTATCTGGGCTGCCACACAGCATGACTGTAACATTGAGGTTGATTGTACCTGCTCTCATCTGCTCAAGGAAAATATAATTCTACTTAACATGCTGAACCACTGTCTTTTACTCACCCATCTCCCTTTCCCCTAGAAAGACAGTTATGAAAGACCACTGGATGAGGCTTCCCAGCCCCGAGTCCCAGACCCCATTCTACATCCACAGCTGGGAAACCTCAGGCCAGTGCTGCAACCTCTCTGAGCCTGTTTGCTCGCCTGCAAATGGAGTAAATAGTAATTTATGTGCTGCCTACCTCACAGGGCTGTCATGAGGACAAAATGGGTTGTCTGTAAACTGTAAAGTGCTGTCTAAATGTGAGGTCACATGATTACCATCCTCATCTCTCTCTTGCAGAAGACTTAAATGTATTTCCGTGTGTGTGTGTGTGTGTGTAAGGGACAGACCCATGTGTTACTTTGAGAAGCATATTGTTTGTGTCCAGTTACTTTGGAAATCTACTGACTTGTGATCCGACAGAGGGATTTGTGCTTTGGCCTAACGCTTGCCGCGCGAGGTATGGGCTATGCCTACATGCAGATTAAAATGCGCCTTTCTTGAATTCTCAAATGGCTCACTGGTCTCTTTTATTCTTTTTGTATGTTTCTACAGTGTCTTCTTCATAGCAATGGGTTCCTTCAGAAATGTTTTACTTCTAAAGTTTAGGGGGGAAATGGTTTAGAAGATGTTCATGTTGCAGACGCTCAAGATCAGAGAATTTGAGAGACCTTGAAAGAGATTTTAAGGGTCATCTAGTCCTACTGTCTTTCCAGGGCTTAAATCTTTCCTGTGACATCCCTGGCCCATGTTTGGCTACCTCCAGGCACACACAACTCACTACTGCAGGACCAGCTCTGCTTGTCTACTGCCAACCCTGCGCTGACAGGCCGTGGAGGTGGAGGCAGAGGCCCACTAAGTCTGACCTTGGGTGGGCTCCTGAGCCTTCTGAGGCTGAGTGCCTCATCTACAAAATAAGTCTCATATCTGCCCCTAGAATTATTGCATTTTTATATGGAATGATACACATGAAGAGACTTTGTTTTGGCAAGTAGATAAAGTCGCCCTAATGTTTAGAACTGAAGAGATCATGAGACAGCTGGTGAGTACAAGAGAGAGCTGAGAAGAGGAAGAATGTGGATCCCCATGGCTTCCTTTTCCAGTTCTGAAATGAGCAATCAGGCAGGTGGGGATTCAGGAAGCCTGATTCCCTTCATCTCATTCCCTGGCCATCCTTGCCTGTCAGTCAATTCTGGGTCCTGCTGTATCCAGATTCCAATTGGATTCAGGGGCAGAAAAGAAATAAGCCCCAAACAGATTTCCTTTAAAGCAGCGGTTCTCAACCTTCTGGCCCTTTAAATACAGTTCCTCGTGTTGTGACCCAGCCATAAAATTATTTTCGTTGCTACTTCATAACTGTAATGTTGCTACTGTTATGAATCGTAATGTAAATATCTGATATGCAGGATGGTCTTAGGCGACCCCTTTGAAAGGGTCGTTTGACCGCCAAAGGGGTTGCGACCCACAGGTTGAGAACCGCTGCTTTAAAGCAAATGATATGGCAGTTGTGTATTTCATGTCTGTTTCTGTCTCAGTGGCAAGAGCCAGCCACATGGCCGGACTGGCTACTGGGGATTGGGTAGAGCCCTGCACTTTGAAAAGAGTTGGCAACAATGGGAGAGGAATAATGGCATACAACAAGGGTGGCATTTGAAGGATTTTGGGAAATCTGGAATCTCTGCTGTGCATCACATGTAGAAGTTGCCATGCCTATCAACCACCTTTGTAATATGCTTGAAGGTGACCCAAAGAGTGGCACCCCTTTTTCTTAACCATGTCCCAACTAACTTATATAAAATCTACATTATAAAAGGCCAGGGTCCGTAAAGTCCAAAACGACCCCGAAAGGATGACCAAATACCAGGAAGTGCATGGAGCACCTCTAGGTCTCTCCCCCCCGCCCCCGCCCCCAGGGGGAACCAAGGGGAACTGGGCTGGGTGGCAGCGGAGCGGGACTGGGGACTGGGGACTGGGGAGCGGGCACTATGCAGACCCCCTGGTCCCCCCAGCCAGCAGGCTCCAATCGATCCTCAGTTTCCTCTGAAAGGAACGTGGTGCCTCCACTGCACAGCCTCCCAGGACGCAGACTCACTGCTATGAGAGGCTCCGGAGCGAGCGGAGACTTCAACAAGGACTTCAGCGCCTGCAGCGACCCTCAGCCTTCCCTCAGGTGGACGGAGAGCATCAGCTTTAAAGCACAAGAACTGGGCTGGGTGGCAGCGGAGCGGGACTGGGGACTGGGGACTGGGGAGCGGGCACTATGCAGACCCCCTGGTCCCCCCAGCCAGCAGGCTCCAATCGATCCTCAGTTTCCTCTGAAAGGAACGTGGTGCCTCCACTGCACAGCCTCCCAGGACGCAGACTCACTGCTATGAGAGTCTCCGCAGCGAGCGGAGACTTCAACAAGGACTTCAGCGCCTGCAGCGACCCTCAGCCTTCCCTCAGGTGGACGGAGAGCATCAGCTTTAAAGCACAAACACCCTCCTCGGGAAAAGCCGCCACCTCCCTACTCCACAGCCGCTTCTGTGTCTGCAAGAAACTGTGCCCATTGCATGGGCGGGGCCAGAGCCTGAGCTGAGTGGTTCTGCAAAGGCGGCTGTGCCAGTGCAGGGACAGAGGGGGGGAGGGCGGGGCAGGAGCAGGGGGCAGCCCTGGTTCCCTGGACCTCCTCCCACAGGCATAGCCCTTCCTGGTGTTATGATAAAAGGAGTTGTGTTTTTCTAACCCTGGGTAAAGGAAACAAGTGTCTGTTGACTTCCCATCTTACTCTACCAGCCGCCAGTTAATCCCTCTGGATGCATCATATCCAAACCTCTAAAGGATCCGAGGGGCAGGTTCAACCCTGGTTCCATAGTTGAGGAAACAGACCAATAAACATATGTGTCTCATGCCTCAGTGTTAACTCCTGCGGAAATCTCCGGGTAATGATTCAGATTGTATATCTAAGGGTATATTTTCTTCTGTTTTCGTGTTTAATTCAACCCCAGGAATCAAATAATACAACAAAGAATAAAATGAGTTCAGAGGGCTCAGCATTGTATTCCCAGGGCCCTTGGTCCCACACAAACCGCAGAGCTCAGTTATCCTGAGATGAAAGGAAAGAGAAACGTGAAAGGTTTCCCAGCTCAGTCACAGAGACATCTCATAGCCACATACTAAGGACACAACATTAACTTAGGGGTGGAAAGGACACAAAAGGAATAGAAGATGGGGGGTGATACGCGGAAGGTGGGCCCCACCAGGTGATGACGGGGGGCAAGCCTATGGGAGGTGGCCAAGTGCCCCCACCTCTGCTGAGGGGAGCATGCGTCTGCCCTGGGAGCTGTGGCTGATGGACAGGGAGGCTATGGCTCCATGTGGACGAGTTGCCACACCAAGTACTGTGGCTGCAGGGAGGATCATGTAATCAGTTTGCTTGGTCCCAATCTATGATTGTCTTAATGAAATAACGTGGAAGGGCCTAGAAAATATCTGCGTATGCCAGGTGTAGAAAGGATAAGTATTGCTTTGTAAAAATTTCAACTCAGTGTGGCAGGTCATTGTGATAGCATATGTATTCACTGAGGTGTGACAAGTACACAGTTAAGTGCTTGAATCTTAAGTGTACAACTTGGGAAGATTTTACACATGTGTGCACCCACACAACACTCCCAAACGAGGGGATTTCCAGCCCCCAGAAGGCCCCCTCCTATGCTCTCCCCGCCAGTACCCCCATGCAAAGGGAAAATAGATGCTTTGCTATGGGTTACATTGAAAAGAACTGGAAACGCAGAAAGAGAACCACTCTAGGTGGAAGGTTATTCCCGGGCTCCACCCCCTGCTCCATCGTCTGCTCTGAGCACCGATTGGTCCCAGAGAAGAAAAGGAACCAGTTGTTGGTGTGCACGTGGCCACAGAGGCTGCCTACGTGACAGTCGCCAGGGGCTAGGCAGCCCCAGTGGCAGGGCAGCTGTCCAAAGTCCTGGTGGGTCACTGCTATTTACGGCCAACCTTTCCGGTTGGTGGTGCCTGCCCCAAGGAGGGCTATTTTTAAGCGGGAATATGGCCTGCTGGATTTGCTGGGTGGCATATTAAGCTGGTGTGGATAGAAAGTAAGATTAACTAGCAATCTGCTTCCCACGTGGTTGTGATTGCCCTGAATCGGGGCCCCAGGAAGGAGGTCCTTCGTCCCTGGCTCAGAGCTTGATTAGCAGCAGGAGAGCGGGAGCTTTAGACATCTCTTCCTCCCAGACCTGGGCGGCTGGGATGGGGGTCATTCTGCAGACCTAACCGCAGCCCCAAGGCTGGTGCTCCTGAGGGAAGGTAGGAACAAGTCCCCTAACTGGTGTGAGTGTCCAGGCAGGCCGTTCCACCTAGATGCAGGGTCTTGCAGGACTGGGCAGCCAGTGAGCTGGGCTGCAGGCCCCCAGACCTCTCCCAAAGCCTGGGGGAGGCAGCTTCCAGGACCACACTTGGGCGAGGGAACCATTTCAGAGAAAGGTCAGGTGCTAGAAAGAGCGCAGGGCTGGCGGCAGAGAAGTCAGGGGCTGGCCTTCTAGGGCACAGCTGGGGGAACAAGTGTGGCCAGAGATCCTGGATGGGATTGGCCAGAGGGGCCCAGCCCCGCCCAGCCCGAGCCTTGTCCAGGCCGGCCCTGCCAGCTCGCGTTACACACCGCTTGGCTGTGTGCTTGCGGCAGGACGCGAGAGACTCCGGCTCCAAGGTCAGTGAGGCCATGAAACTCAGCTTTCTGCCTCTTCAGCCGGGGCACTGCTAGAGCCGGTGCGGGGGGTCTGGTGAGCCGGGGCCCCAGGGCTGGAGGCCGGGACCACCTGTAGGACGGTTGTCCTGGCACTGTGGTGGTAACTAAAGAAGCCCTGGGCTGAAGGCTCCCCTGTCCCCTGCACACGGGCACAGGCACAGGGGACAGGTCCTTCCCGTGGGACAGCTCTGCATGAGGTGCTGGAACCCCACCAGCAGCCTGCTTGCAATGCTTGTTTTTGATAGAGAATCAGGATATTTTTCTTGATGGAAAAAAAACCATCTAAATGCCACTGAATGTGGGATTTTTAACCTTCAACTTTCCCTCCCTTGTAATTTACAGAGACTAATGGGTTTGTTTCTGGGAGAGGTTTTCCTCAGCAGCAAGAACAGGTGCAAGTCACTGGCTTGGGATATAGTAACTGGAAAATGAACTTTGCGAGGCCCCCAAAAGGAGCTCATTACGAGTCGGCCCAGTAGCTGGATCCAATTTAAACTGGTTCACATTGTTGCTAGAGCATCATTCTTGAAATGACTAACACATCAATAACGAACCAAGTATTGTTTCTTCCCCACCGGAGGGGAAAACTGCTGGGCACTGCCTGTGTGTGTTTGGCTAGTTGGCTCTCGGCGAGCTGCTGTCAGCCCTGTTCTTGCTTCATGAGCGGGTGACATCTGTGCCTTTGAATGACCTGGTGCATGTGGAGAACTGGGCAACCCTCCGGCTCTCCTTAGTGCTGCCCTTCAGGCCTTCCTGCTCTGCGACCCCCACAGGGTCAGCTGGGGCCATGTGCATGGCAGTTAATGCCCCCAGGACAAGGCTACGCTAATGTAACTGGTGTGCTGTTTCCAGAGGGCTTTTTTCCTGCCCGCAGCTCTCACGCTTCCCGTGCCTAGTGTCCTTGGTATGTTCTCTCTGTTCTCCTGGAGAACAAGACCACAGATGAACTTGACTGACCCGGGGGCTTTCTGACCCAGAGGGCTCTTCGAGAGATCTGGGCATTACTGGGCTCTGTGAGCACCCAATTCCTCCTTTGCTTTTATAAGCACCTCTTCCAAAGACCCCCCGCCTTTAGCGCTAAACCTCCTGTGGGTTATGGGTTAAGGCGCCATCCCAGCAAAGCACAGGAGTGCCACATGCTCCTGGTGCTCTGCCAGCTTCAGGATCAAATCACATCCTCTGAGAATGGGCCAGGGGGGTTTTCCTAAAGGACCGGCTGAGGAAGGTTCAGGAAACTGTGGGGTGGGCAGAGGATCAGGCATGGGGAGTCGTGGGCTCAAAGGCAGGAGCGGGCTTGGTTCCTGGCTCAGAAGCTTCTGCTGCAGCTTCGAGAAGGACCCTTTTGTCTTCTCAGAGGAAACCAGGCAGGAGCGTGTGTCAAACATTCTTGGAGTTCCTGCCCACTGAGTCAGGCATCCCAGAGGGAGCCAGCCTTGAAGGTGACTGCTGGAGGTCATCTACCCTGCCTGAGAAGCCACAGAGAATCCTAACCTTGGGCAGGCAGGGAGGCACCTCCTCCTTTAGAACATTTCAAAGGACTAGATGTTTCCAACCTCCTATTTTCTTAAAAACAACTTACCTTAGAGAGGAGTCTGGTAATGGTCCTATGTCTTCCTCACAAGGAATCCTAGGAAAGGCCTCTGTCTTGTAAGCAAAGGCTGTAAACATCTCCTGCCTATGACTGTCCACTTGCTGAATAAGACAGATGCCCAAGGGTGCCCAGTAGGTGATGAGTGATGTGAACCCTTTGCTCTCTCGGAATGGGAGGAGACAGCCGTTTTCTGCTGGCCTAGGAGGCTGGCAACCGTGGGAATTGGTTCAGAGTGTTCTGTGGACCTGGCTCAACCCTGGACATCCACTGTTTGGGGGGCGATTCTTTCTGGATGGAAAGCTGACACGTGGTCTTGCCACTGCCCTCTGTCCCCAAGGAGCTCAGACACATGGGCGCTGTGTACAGCTGGACCAGAAATGACTCTGAGTCAGCAGAAAGGCACCCACGGTGTCTCCATCCAGGATATTCAGGACAACCAGGAGGCTCAGAATTGAGGCCATGACAGAACTCAACACCTGCACATTCCAATTGTTATGGAACCAGACAAAACCCTTAGACCTGGACCCAGACTCTCAGTACACTTGCCTGGGACAGAGAGATATACAGCTCCTGGGCGCTCTAACAAAAGGGCATAATCTGGTGGTTCTTGCTTTTTAGTGGAAAGGGTGAGTGTAGGACTAAAACACTATCATTGTCTTTGGCTGTCATCTTGCACCCCATGTAAAAATCTCCTTGGCTTGGGGCTCAGCAATTCTGCCAGATTTTGGTTCTGATGCTGTAAACAATGCTGTATAAATCAGGAGTCACAAAGGTGTTCCAGGTTAGGGACACTGAGGCAGACAGCTCCTACAGAGCGAGACATGACCTCCTTCCTCACCTCTGCAATCCCTAGTTCTGTACAAGGGAGGAGAGAGGAGAGAAGGAGACAGAAGGCAAGAACAAATCTCAGAGGAAGGCAGACGGGCCCAGCAGGCTGGCCGTCGTGTCGGGCACCTAGCATCAGAGTGGAGTGGGCAGAGGTACCCCTGGTGTCCAGGCACTGGGACTTGGGCAGAGTCACATGCCCTGAGGCGATAATCCTATGAGGAGGAGCTGCTGTGATAAATGCATTGCTACGGTCTTAGGGGTTTAACGGAGTGGAGTGATCTGTGGCACTCCTAGGTGCTCAACCACAAAGGTCATTTCCCCGGTAACTGCTGGCCAGTGAGGGGCCGTCTGTAGGTGCTGGGGTTTGCAAGAGGCTTGAATCCAGGGCCAAAGACAAGCCTGGGTTCAAATCCCAGCTCTTCGATGTGCTGGCCCTGAGATCTGGAAGTCTTGAGCCTCAGTTTCCCCACCTGAAAAACAATGCCCACTTGGCAGATTGTTGCAAAGACTAAAGACAATGTTCGTAAGGCCACTTGCATGGCACATGCCTCATGGTAGGAGCTTAATAAATGTTAGTTTTTTTTTAAAAAAAGGACAGTGAAGCTTGCTTGGGCTTGAAGCCACGGAAAGGACCTCCCAGGGATCCAGAAAGTAGCAATCCTGTTTTGGTTATTTCTCCCTATCATAGCACCGGAGAAAGGGTCATGGACTTCAGGGAATTTGACATTCACAATATGCAAAACCACTCAGATTTTCCCCAGCAGTGTGGAGGGGTGTGGGGGAGAAAGGAAGAAAGAGGAAAACACACCAGAAGACAGGCTCCGGCTGCTGCAGTTCTTTCTCGTGCTGGGTGGTCTCCACGTTGGAGTTCAGGGCCATCCAGAGAGGCTGTCTCACCCAGTTTTTCTGCTTTCCAGACACTCAACCAAGAGGAAGGATGGCCAGTGCCTTCTCTAAGTTGCTAACTGGCCGCAATGCTTCTCTGTTATTTGCCACACTGGGCACCAGTGCCCTGACCACCGGGTACCTGGTGAACCGGCAGAATGTGCGTGCTGAGTCCCGGGAACAGCACAAGCTATTCCCTCCGAGGTAAGTCCTCTTGGCTTTCAAATAGCTCCCGGTGCCCGCCAGAACTATGCTGCCCCCTGCTGGACACTGCCGCGGGGGTTAGCTAGGTGGCGAATACAAGGAAGCTTAGCGTCACCATTCCTGCCCAGAGCTTGCAGTCTGGTTGGATAGTAATAATAGTCACAGTTAACATTTGTTGAGCACTTCTATGTATGTTAATCACTATACATGGAGTGTCTGCTTTATTCACCTTAGCATCCCTTTGCGATGAAACGGAGGCTTAGAAAAATTAAATAGTGCCTAAGTGCACACAGCTAGTGCAGCCAAATGCAGATTCAGGGACACTGGTTGCAGACTCAGGCCTCATTCACTGCTACACTGCCTTCTGGAACATGTAATCGCATAGTGCTGATTTTAAGTGTCAGCTTAAAGGGCATGGCAGGCGGGACGTGGAGGCGTGGCTTGACGATGGACTTGTTTCTTCAGCCCTTGGGACCTGGCCAGGACTGAGACAGCACACACTAAATAGAGCTGAAGTGCAGAGCTGACTAAGGATTCCACATGCAGGGGTGGATGGGAGTGGCGGGGAAAGCCCGGTGTTTCTCAGAGACATTTATGGCTCTCAGGGTCTCTGAGGAAATGACCTGCTCCCACCATGCACCTCAGGGATTCCTGAGGTGAGATTGCCTGTGTTTGAGCCTGTGGCGGTCCCGCATCCCCTATTCTTCAACCAATTCATATCCCAGCGCAGGACATTTTATTTCTTCCTATGTATTATTCCAACAGATATTTACTGAATGCCTGTTTCAATAGCCAGACTCAACACAGCAGATAGTCACAGAGCTCGCATCAGAGAAAGAGGGCAGATAAATGGCTGCTTTTCTGGGTGGTCCCACCTGCAGGGTTTCAGTCTCTATCACTAGGCCCAAGGCATCACAATGCACCTGTTGTGTTTTACCAAAACTTCTGGGTTAAAAAGTGCACGCGACTCCATTCATTTTCTAACTATTTTCCCTCTGCCTCCCTTTTACATGAGCATGAGCCAGTCTGGGCCGCTGCAGCCGGGTCCCTTTCTTTGGCAGTTCAGGGGACTTTTTTTTTATACTCTGGCTTACATAAGTCATGACTTCTAGCCAAGTGTCTCGTGCTGACTGGCTAAAGAGAGCCTGGTGGACGGATGGGCAGACACAAAGCCCATTCGTAGGGCCCTCCCTTCAAGGCTGCTCCCTGAAAGCCTGTCCCCTTGGTGCACAGTGCAGACTACCCTGACCTTCGCAAGCACAATAACTGCATGGCCGAGTGCCTCACCCCCTCCATCTACGCCAAGCTCCGCAACAAGATGACGCCCCAAGGCTACACTCTGGACCAGTGTATCCAGACTGGAGTGGACAACCCCGGTCACCCCTTCATAAAGACTGTGGGCATGGTGGCTGGTGACGAGGAGTCCTATGAGGTAAAACTATCAGCTGCAGGTTCAGTAGGCCAGCTTTCTGCCTTCTCAGGCAGGGCTGCCTCACAGGGAAGCCAGCAGAACATCCGGAAAGCTTTCTGGAGCAATGAGGGCCGCAGCTTCCCAGGGACAAGGCTTCCCTTGCTGTTGCTCTAGTTCCTCTCAGGAAGGAATTCCTTGCATGACAGAGCTCTCTGAGATTGATCGTCAAGGGGACGAATTGGGAAAATATATGCCTTTTATTTTATTGGTGTGTATTCACCCATAAGACATCAGGAGATGATGTGTTAGTGGCTGGGCTTTACTGGGGGTGGAGGATGGTGTGGTGTGTCTTTAGTTTGAGAATTACTCATTACACAGCCACTGCAGCCCAGGCTTCTGAGTTCAAGTCTTTGGGAAATTCCATGATCTCCGCATCCTCATCCTTGGCACAGAAGCACAGGACGGGCTGCCGCTAGGGGAGCTCAGCCACCTGTGGCCCTCTCCACAGAGCAGCTTCTAGTCCTGGCAGATGTCTCAGCTGCCTCCCTGAGGCCCCCTCCTTGCCCTTCTGTTGCAGGAGCTGAAGGCAGTTCCCTGGGAGGGCAGCCATCAGGAGGAGGGAGGGGCCGCCTTGAGGCTGGTAGCTCCCTCACACACAGCAATGCGCAGCTCTGGGCTCCTGGGAGTCCCAGACCAGAGCTAGCTCCCTGGCCCAACACTCCCCC